AGGTTGAGGCAGCAGGGAGAGCAGGAAGAGAAGGGAGCTGGAAGAGAGTCCCTGTCAGATTGGACTCTGCCAGGACACTGTTTGTGGGACATCTGTGACATCTGTGACAAAACCCCAGCCAGGGAGACGAGCAGGAGCACCCTGGGGCTCAGGGGTGGCCTGCAGAGGAAAATAAAGTGGCTCTTACCCTGTAACCAGCTCACAGCCAGCATGGTTGGCAGCTGTGTCAGTAACACCCTAAATAGTATTAAGTGATAAAACTATCTTTAGTGTTGTACAGTGAGGGCCTGCTGCTGCTCTGCTGGACACTAACAGCAATAACACCAGGTCTCTGCCTCCCCTTCTCAGCACAACTGAGTACAGCCTTTCTCTTCACCATCTCAGCCTTAAAATACCTCTGGTGACATCAGCTCCCACAGAGAGCTGGCCAGCCAGCAAAACCAGGAGCCCCTCTGTTCCTGAGGCCACATCCCACCTGCATGACTTGTTTTCCCAGGTCCCAGCTCCATTTAGTGCCAGCACACTGCTGTACCAACATAAACTAAAGGAACACTGAACACAAAGCCCACACGTGTCCTCACAGAAATACCGCCAACTAAATCTCAGGAGTTTTGTATGAGAATTAGCTTCTTGCCTTCAGCTTTCCTGGCTGGCCAGCCAGCCTGTCCCTCAACAGAGGGGAGACCCTCCTCAGTAGGTGTGATTTTGTTTTACAGGATGCTACAAGTATTAATGAGAACAGTCTATACTGTAATGTACATTGAAATGTGGTGATTTTAGTCTATTGTGGCATGAGCCCAGTGCTTGCCTGCAAGGGAACAGGATTTGTTCTCAGGCCAGGAATGCAACCCCAGGAGGTCAGGATGGGACACAGAAGGTCTCCTTTTGCCAAAACATTCCCTTGCGCCCAGTGGCTGCTTGACAAGGCACAGGGTTCAGCTACGGGTGACAGACATCACCCACAGGGCATTTTGCAGTTGATGTTGTAAAAGGGACCAACCCTGCACTCTTAGCCTGTGCAGTGTGTCTGAGCATTTTGTGGCCAAAAAAGCTCCTGGAGCCAGGGAGAGTTGTTGAGTTCCTGGGAACAAGGCTGACTGTTTGTCAAGTCGATTAGAGAACCTTAGTACTACTGTTTGTGTCTTTGTCATGGACCAGGTTTGTCTTCAAGGCTGACATCAAAAACTCCACCACCATTTCCAAGGAGAATAAAACATTCATTACAATCTGATGCCAGAGGCATCAAGATCAATGGAGATGGTGCTACTAAGCATCATCCTGAACCACCCATACCAACCACACACTTGCATCCCCAACACACACAAGAAAGTAGAGATGTGGCCTGGGTGGCACAAAAGAGCAGACCAGGGTCTTGCTTCCACCACCCTGGAAGAAAAAGCAGACAGAAGCACTCTCCCCAAGCACCCCAAGACTTGAGTGTCCATTATAATTTCTGAGCTCCTTCAATAACACAAGATAACTGATGCTGGCAGATAAAGGTACATGACCTATATAAGACATTACACTGAGAAGGTGATTATGGAAAGGGACTACTCACAAGACCAAACCAGCAGCCTGTGAGATCCTTATTTGTGCTGCAAAAGCTAGCTAGCAAACATGAACAAGTGTGAGCCTTAAACATTGATGTGTTAATAAGAAGAGGAGGACCAAAGCCTCTCAGCTGGCACCATGCAGGGAGAGGGAAGGGAGTTGGACTGGAGATCAGGCAAAAACATCTCCATCTTTCAGAAAGGGCAGCCGGGTTCTCCATGGGCAGGCATGGGAAAGAGAGACATCTAGGGAGGAGGGCTGGGAGCCAGCCCGACACTCACTACCCCAGCCCCTCTCCCACCCAGTGTCTTAGAAAATAATGTTGAGACCAAATCCTGACTGTCCTGTAGCATAGACAAGTGGCTTGAGGACTAAACCCCCTGTTCCAGGTGGGGAGAATAGATGATAGCAAGTAACAACATGATTTTGAAGCATTGCCTGAGTCTCACCATCTTTGCCGATGCTGAAGCAACCTGGTGGCACTCAAATAGGATCATTTAAAGACCAACCATTGCTCCATTAAATAGCCCAGTCCCTAATTTAACATCTTCAGTCCTACCTCCCCACCTCCCTTTACCCCCTTCAGCTCAACAAGGGAGAAGTGACTATCACCCTGCCTCTGGGCTCCCCACTCCCCACCACATTTCTTACCAAAGGATCACCAGAGGCTGCCACTGTTTTCCTTTTGCTGAAACATTTTTCCTGCATGTTTGATAGCCCAGTATTAACATTAGTATTATGTTATTAGTAGTAGCATTATGTTATTATTATTAACATTAACATACAGTATTAACTGTAATTTTGTATGAAGAGTGACTGTCCATGGGTTTAATAGAGCATTAGTTACTGTAATAATTTATTGGCTGTCTGTAATGTATTTATTAGTTACAAAACCTTAATAAAGTGCCAGCTCTTTTCTAGTGTGAGTGGTTTTATTGTGTCTCCCTTCAGTGTGTTCAGCGTCTCAAGCCTGTTATTTACCCTATATCTGCTCTGTGCACACACACACACGTCAGTTGTCTGCCACAGCCTCATTTGCCTGGAAATTAAGAATTTGAAAAGGATATGACCAAAAGATATTTAATTTTATGTATTTGGTTGATTTTTTCCCCTTTGTTTTTTAAGTAAAACATCTTTACCATGGTTTCTCTTTGTTCCTTGGCTTCCTGAAATTACCCTTCCCCTCCTTGCAGCCCCTTGCCCCATGTACCTGCATCAGACCATCCATGATTTCCCATTATTTTGGGGCATGAAGTAGAAGCAAAGAACTTGAAGAAATCAAGAGAAAAATGTCAAGAAACCTCAGCAAAGGAAAACTAACTATGATTCCTGTTGGCTTAACCAATTTCCAATGGTGTAACTTCAGCTGGACCCATCCTGCAGATCAGAATTAAAGGCTAGCCCTGAGAAAAACTGATAGCTAAGAGGAAAAGGATTTCCTCTTTTTAAATTCATAGAGGACATTTTTATAAGTTGCCTCCAGGATACTATCCTGCCCTGACCTTCTACACTGGAAACTTCCTTTTCAAGTCACCAGGGTTATTTTCCCTGCACTGGGGATTTTCATTTCCCTAGGCACATGCTGCTCCTCCAACACCATCAGTCCCTTATTTAAATATACAATGTGGGATGAACAAGGAAAAAAAACCCAGCACAACACCAAAACCAAACAAAAAAAAAAAACAAAAACCAACCAACCAACCAAAAAAAAAAAAAAAACACACAGAAAAAAAAAAACACTAGGATACCTCCCATGAAAAATCTCAAGACCCAGCATTTTTGCAACAGCCACAGGTCAAGAAGAGCCACGTTGTCCTGTGGCAGTTTGTTTTCTCCCTGATCAAGGCTTTTTATTTCTTTATTTTTAAAAGATAGAGATAAAACAAAGTCCTTAAGCTTTGGGAAGTGGCTGCTTAACATCCCTCGCTGCTCTTTGTCAAGGAACCACCAGTGTAATCTCAAAGCCTTTCAAGATGAAATCAGACATCTGCTAAATTTTGCATGCAAAAGCTACAGTTGAAGTGTAGCTAATAAAATGACTCACTAATAAAACATTCATGGAAAATTCCAAAATGTGTAATTGGGTCATCATTTCCTTAGGAAACATGTGTGTTTTCCCAAATCATTGGCAAATCCAAGCCCCCCCCCCCCCTTGATGCACCTCAAAAAAGGGGCTGGGGGGGGGTGGTGTTTGCTGCAGGTGGGTTTCCCACTGGCTGCTGGGCACCCTTGTTGCCCTCTGCTCCATGCAAGGGACCCCAAGAAGGGTTGTGGAGAGGAGCATAGTGGATTCAGCACCTTCAGACTTCACTAAACCCTGGTTCTGCACCGGAAGCTTTGCATGTTCGAGTAGTGAACTAGGTGGATATGTGCAATAGAGGTGGTACACAGACTGCCTGAAATGGCTCGTGATGTTCTCCCTGGAGCAGCAGGGAATGGCTTCCTGTTTATTTTAAGAACAAGTTAATGATGGAGAAAATTTGAGAGCTCCTAGAGAGCTGTACCTGTCCTGTCCAGCAGCACCTCCACACTGGCAGTGGGTGCATGTGTCTGCAGAGAGCCCCCACAGCAGCTTGAGTGAAGCATGAAAATACTTGATGAGGCCCTGCAACAGCTGATTCACCACAGGACAACCTCTCCTCCTCCTCTCCTTCTGTCCATTCTCCACTTCTTTCCAGTAACAACTTCTGTAGCATGGGGGGAAAAGGCTTTTGTCCACGTGTGAAATGCCAATTTCTTAAAAATACAATTTTTAAAGATTTGCCTCTATGCTCCTACTAAAACTCTTCCATGCTGAACATCCCCCTGGAGCAGCTCACAGTGGTTTCTTAGCAGCCACCTAGCCACCTAGCCACCACTGTGGTACTTTCAAAGAGGGGCTGAAGATGTTTCCAGGGGCAGAAGGGGGCCAGCTGGGACAGGTCCTGCCCCATCCTCTGGGCAACCCCTCAGCACCAGTCTCACCACCATGGCACTACTTGGCACAAGCTCCCTTCCAGTCAGGTCCATAGGACCACAAGGTGGCCAGAACTCCCTCTCATCCCAGTCCCCATCCTGGCTGCTGGCTGTCCAGCCTTTCTTTTGGCTCTGCAAGTGATGCTTCAGGGGTGCCCAGCCCCTGCAGACACAGGCTTCTTCCACATTCCAGTGAGGGAGCTGATGAGCAAGGGACTTTTCTTCTGCTCTTCCTTGAAATTTCAGGTGTCAGTTCTGCTTGAGCAGCCCCACAGGGATCAACCCCAACCTCCACACCTGCCTTGTCCTCCAGCCCAAGAGGACAGCAGTACCCTGTTTCCTCCACCTTTGTAACCATCTCACACTTATCACTGTCTTATTTCACAGATTTTCTTTGCTTTCTAACCATTTCATTTCAGAAAGATGTTATCTTCTCCTCTAACTCTCTCTTTGTCTTTCTCTCCCCTCTCTTCCCTCCATGCTCCCCATTGCAGAACCGCATGCATGAATCTCTCATGCTCTTCGACTCCATCTGTAACAACAAATTCTTCATTGATACCTCCATCATTCTCTTCCTCAACAAGAAAGACCTATTTTCTGAGAAGATCAAGAAATCACCTCTGACCATCTGCTTCCCCGAATACACAGGTATGTGCCAGGGCTGGCACAGCCCAGTGTGATCCCACCACCGTGCCACCGGGGCTGGGGGCTACAACTCAACTCAGAGGTGGGTACAGGGGCAGAGGGGACAGGACACCATTATGGAGGGCAAAAGCACTGCCCAACTTCAAGAGCTGCAGTGGGGCTCCAGCACCCCACTCATGGGGTGGAGTTGTGTCCTGCATTTGGTCAGTGCTTGTGGCAAAGGTGCACAACCAGCTGATGGGACAGAGGGTCAAGATGAGCTTTAAGGACCCTGGCCACAGGTAGCTGTAGAAAGATGAAGCCTTGGCAAGACCTGACTGCCCACCAATTAAGCCATCCTGTTTGCTGATGGCTCCTGAGGAGGTCCTGCTGGAGGAGCCAAGAGACATGGTCCTCCAAGCTGCATCCTCCCAGGAGTGCCTTTGTACAGGGCACAGCTGGGGAAGGAAAGAACCTTGTTACAGCAGATGTCTGAAACCACAAGAGAATCACACATTTTGAAGCAAAACTAATGTGGCTTGGGGAAAAGAACAAAACCCGAGAAAACGGGGTAAGAACAGATATTGCTTCCTAATTCTCCAAGGGGAAGGAAAAATCAGCTCAGATTCAGAGGCTCCAGCACCCCCTACAGATACTGAGGTGTCTCTGAACTACTTCACTCAGAGCACACCCTCTGCCTGGATGCCAGACCTGGGGGACAAGGGCGTCCCCAGCAGGACAGCCCCCATTCCCCTACAGCAGAAGTGCACCAGCATTTCCACCAGAGGTTTTGAGGTTTCTCCATCACAGAAGCAGCAGCACTTTTTTCCCCAGCCACCTGGCAGGACACCCCAAACTATCCCACACAAAATTGTACAGCACATCCCAGCTATCCTGGTGGCACCAGGCCACCACCCCCGTCCTTTGGCCACCTCCCACATCGGTGAGAAGGGGAAGTGGCAAGCTGGAAAAGAAAAATAAGTCTCCAGATAACAGCAGCCCTTCCAAAGGTGATTCCAGGGGTGTCATTCAGGCTTCATGGCTTCCCACAAGGAACTGGGCACAGCTGCTCTCACTGCCCTAAGCAGCTTAATACAACAATGCACATCTTCCAGCTCAAACATCTAGCCCCTCTCCAGCCTTACAGGAACAGACAACAGCAGCACATCCCCATGCAGCTCCTGCCCCCCACCCCACCCCAACCTCTCCCATTCCAATACCCAGGTGAGAGCACCCCCAACAGCACCCAGAGGGGCTCACCCCCGCTAAGGGGGCCCAGACACCAACCATAGGCAACGTTGGAGTGGCCACCAAGCCTCCCCCTGCCTGACAGGCTGGGAGGCCACCAGGACCCCCAGCCTTTCTCCCACATGCACTCCATTAAGATGCACTACAGGGACTTGCTGGCTATGCTGGGGCAGCAGTGATGCCAAAAGAGCATCCCTGGGGAACAACCCAGCCAGACATCACTGGAACTGCTGCCCTTCCCCAGGGAGAAAACAGGAAGCAGACAGAGAGGACAAAGCAGCCACAGCTGGGGAGGCAGGAGTCCCAACGGATCCCAGGTGCTCTTAGATTTGGGGAAAAATAGGGGGAAATGGGGACAGATGGAGTGGAAAAGGGTAGTTGGGGAGGGGGGAGGAGAGAAATGGGGCAGGAAAAGGGGTAAATGGACCCTTCTGGGGGGTTGAAAAAAATGAAAATAAATAGGGTTTGCCTGGTTTTGTTAGAAATAAAGTACTTTGCAAGCAGCAAGGGGTTGGATGCATGGCCAGAGGGTGGTGATCCACGGCCCTGACCCCCCGCTACTCTGTCCCCCCACCTCTGCCTGCAGGTCCCAACACCTACGAGGATGCGGCTGCCTACATCCAAGCACAATTTGAAAGCAAAAACCGCTCCCCCAACAAGGAGATTTACTGCCATATGACGTGTGCCACAGACACAAACAACATCCAGGTGGTATTTGATGCTGTCACTGACATCATCATTGCTAACAACCTGCGGGGCTGTGGCTTGTACTGACACCCCCCCCCCCCTTCCCCAGTGCAAAGCGACTTCTAGGGTGGCGGCAGCCCCGGTGCCAGGAGAGAAAAGAAAATAAAGATTAATAATAATAACAATAACAAAAAACCCAATGCAACCACACACACACACATGCATGTGCGGGAAAAAAATAAGTGAAACAAAATGAAAACAACACAGATTGAATGAGAGAAAACCAAATTGTGATTGTGCGAGTTGGTAAATAAAAAGGCATAAGGAAAAATTATATATATACACATATACAGAGATATAAAATACACACCCACCTTTTTAGTTGGTCTAAGAGCCCCTCGCTGCATCCTGGGGGGAAGCCCTGGGGATGGAGGGGGCTCTGCCCAGCCCAACTCCCAGAGCTGTAGGGCAGAGGGACAGTGCTGGGATCACCCCCATGGCAAAAGCAGGGGGCTGTGCCAGTGCTCGTGTGCAGAGGGGGATGCTTCTTCTCCCAGCACCTATTTGACCATGGGGGTTTATTTTTTTGTTACTATTATAATTAATCATTGTGGGTTAGCTTTCTTATTTCATTATTATGATTAATTATTTCTCTTCCCAGCGCAGGGCTGCTCCCACCTGCCCCCAAGCCCCACTGGCACCCCCAGCCTCCAGAACCTAATATATACGTTTTTGTCTTTAAAAATGAGGGGAAAAACCTGAAAACTCCCCCCTGGCCAAATGTCAAAGGGAAACAACAGCAGCAATAAGGCCTGTTTCCAATCTTGCCATCCCAGCTCCCTTCCTGGGGTTTAGGGTTTTTTAGCATAGATTTTTTGGACTCCCCACCCCACTTTAGGGCAAAGCCCTCACTAGCCAGGGGCTGGTGGGTTTTTCCTCTCATTTTCCCTCCCTCCTGGTTTAACAATTCCCCACTGGTTCTGAAGGTTGGTACTCGAAAGCACAGCTCAGCCAGATCAGCCCCAGCAAGGCATTGGGGTGGGTCACATGGACATCAAGTTTATTTTAGCTTTTATTTTGTTGGGATTTTTTTTTCATTTAGGGTCTAGATACAATTTTTTTTGTTGTTTTTTATTAATTTCTTACTCTTCCAGTGGATGCTCTTTTGTGCTGCCTTTTTCTCCCCCCCATCACCCCCATCCTCTCCCTTTTAGTGGATGGTGTTTTTTCTCTCTCATGTGGGGATGTTTGTGATCCAAAAAAAAGTAAAAAAAAAACCCATAAAGTAAAAAAAAAATAAATCTTAATAAGCAAACTTAAAAAAAAGGAAGAATGAAAATTATTTAAAACTTTTAAAAAACACACACAAAACCACAAAAAAATCATTGAAAAACCCCAAGAAACCCCAGAAAACAAATGTAGTGTTTACATTGAAGCCACCGTTTTCATGACCAACCCTTTGTCATTTCTACTTTGATTAGTAACCAGATGTCTTCACAGCTCTACTTTTATGACTTACCTTTGCTGAAGGAGAACAACCTCAGCTGTTCAGAAGAAAATTAATCCATAAAGAGGAAACTAAAAATAAAAGAATATGATAGATATATAAAGTGCTAGGTCTTTCTAAGCCTTTCATATTACCAATCAGTGAGGTTTCTGTGATATGTTACACACTGCCGATCTCTTTCTCTGACTAATGGAAAATTTCATGTGTAGCTCAATAAAGAAAATGTTTGTCTGTACCCTGGGCTCTCCCTCTGCACCTCCGCCTGCTTCTTTCCTCCCCCTTCCCTTGGAAAAAAAAAAAAAAAAAAAGACTAAAACTCACAGTTTTGGGGATATTTGTGGCTGGTAGCATAGGCAGGAGGGTCTGAGCTGAGTTGGGTGGAAGGGGGAGCATAGAGCATAGAAGCCCTTACAGATGGTTCAAGTTGCTTCAGAGCAGCACCAGGAGCAAAAATCCCACCAAAAAAAAACCCTCCCCATGCAAGAAAATACTTTTATTCCTTTGGGACTGCAGAGGTATCCACCAGGGCAAGGTCTTTGGTTTGTGGCAACATCAGAAACATCCCCAGCATGTGAGTTTTTCCCCTTAAGATATAGAGAAGGGTTGTCCAAGAAAGATGAGATTTTTAGTTCCTGCTGCAGGAGAAATTTGGGGTTGGTTTGGGAGAATTTTTTTTCCCCACAATTTGGGGGATTTTTTTTTCCCCCACAGTCTGGGGTCTTCTTGCAGTTTGGGTTTGGTTTTCTGTCGTGGATACCTTTTCTTCACAGCTACCAAGATCTGCTTCCAAAGGCTGAAGGGTAATTTCTGTTTCACTATAGCTTTGTCAGTTTCCTCTTCCCTAACAAGTGATCCCAGCTGCTTGAGTTCCTTACCTTCTAGTTCAGCACCATTGTCGAGCATTGGAGCAATCAGGTGATGATTTGCTCCCCTGTAAGATGGCTGAAATGTTTTTGTATATTCTGCAGCTTGGTCAAGGTCCGGGATCAAGAAGTTACCTCTTCCTCTTCCTCTGATTCCTGTATTAATAACTCATTCAGATGTCATCCCCTGTACTACACGTATCGGGTCTTCATCTTTCTTCACTGTGTGAGCTGCTCTTCAGCTCGTTTGTTTTTCCCCTTGCTTATAGGGGCAACTGATATTGGCACAGATTGGTCCTTTGGTTTATCTGCAGTATCTATCATGGTGGTTGGAGCGGCTGCAGTGTTTTTCACTGGGGCTGGAGTGGGTGCAGTGTCTGTTGTTGGGGTTGTTGTAGCTGCTGTGCTTGGGGGTTGAGTAGCTGCATTGTCTGTTGCTTTGCCATAAGAATGAGAGACATATTTTCCCTGCTCCTTATAGAGCAGGGCTCTGTAGGTGTAGGCCAAGCCCCAGAACACTGCAGCAAGTTGTCCCTCTCTGGTATTGCCAGGATGACAGCACACCTCGTTTAAGTGTTTTACTAGCTTTTCCAGATTTTGCACTTATTCAGGGGTGAAGTTCCAAAGCACTGGAGGGACCCACTTGCCCATACTATCCCACACACCCTGCCACTCATAACTGTCCAAACTTGGGGAAAATCTCTCTGTGGTCCTCCTCTTAGATCATCATTTAACCTTAGACAAGACACAAGCCTAACCCTGCTTAACTTTTGAGATCAGATTAAATAAGGCATTCTCAAGGTGGTATGGCCGTGGATAAAACACATACGGTATTTGTAGCAACATGCTGATTCCCAGCAAAAGCAGCAGGCAGGTTTCAAGCTGTTGTGGTTTAAGCCCAGCCATAACTCAGAACCATGCAGCCGCTCTCTCACTTCCCCCCTTCCTCCCCCCCGCTCCCAGAGGGATGGGGAGGTGAATCAAAGGAATGTAACTCCCACGGGTTGACATAAGAACAGTCCAGTAACTAAGGGATGACACAAAACCACTACTGCTACCACCAATAATTATAATGATAAGACAAATAACAAGGGAAGAGAATACAATCGCTCACCACCCACCAACTGATACACAGCCCGACCCGAGCAGTGATCTAACCCTTCCAGGTAACTGCCCCCAGTTTTTATACTGGGCATGATGTGCTGTGGTATGGAATACCCCACTGGCTAGTTTGGGTCAGGTGTCCTGTCTCTGCTTACTCCCGGCTTCCCCTCCTCCCTGGCAGAGCATGAGACTAAGAAAGTCCTCGGTCAGAGTAAACATCACTGAGCAGCAACTAAAAACATCAGTGTTATCAGTGCTATTCCCAGGCTGAAAGTCAAAATCACAGCACTGCACCAGCGACTAAGAAAGAGAAAAAATGACTGCTACTGCTGAACCCAGGACACAAGGGTATCCAAAGGACATCCAAAACCTTTAGATTTCTCAAATGCTACTGTAAATAACCCAGTGGGAGAGTGGAAGGTGTTAGGGAATGTCTCCTTTATAGGTTGACCCCCCCCCCCAAAAAAAAAGTGCAATAGCTAAAAAATTCCGTTATATGCCTCTCAAAGTATAGAGGTGATTACCATGCTGAGAATGCATGCCAGAACAGTTTCATGATCAATGAATCGATTGTATTACAAATCATTACTATAAAGTACTGCAAAACAAGAACCTTAGCCCAGGTCCCACAGCTGATAAACACTAAAACAGCAAATACTAGCTGTAAGGTACGACACTGAAACTCTGAGACCAAGCACAACAATTCTGAGAGCAAATAAATCAGCCTTGCGACGTGTGACTATTAATCTGAAATAATGAATACTTATCACAAACACAATTAGACACACTCTGGTCAGATCTGTCATTATCTCAACCCTTCGAGCCCCATGTTGGGCACTACAAAGGACTGTCGTGGTTTAGGCCCAGCCGGTAACTCAGAACCATGCTGCTTGCTCACTCCCCACCCCCACTTCTACGTCCCCCTGCTCCCGGAGGGATGGGAAGGAGAATTAAAAGAATGTAATCTCATGGGTTGAGATAAGAACAGACCAGTAACTAAGGTATAACACAGAACTACTGCTGCTACCACCAATAATATTAATGATAAGGGAAATAACAAGGGGAGAGAATATAAAACTAAAAGGGGAAAGGGAAAAAAAAAAAAACAACAAACACAAGTGATGCACAATACAATTGCTCACCGCCTGCCAAACAATACCCAGCCTGACGTGAGCAGCGACCTGCCCTTCTGAGTAACTCCCCTCTATTTATATACTGTGCATGACATGCTGTGGTATGGAATACACCTTTGGCTAGTTTGGGTCAGGTGTCCTGTCTGCTTCCTCCCAGCTTCTTGTGCCCTTCCTCACTGGCAGAGCTTGAGACTGAAAAGTCCTTGATCGGAGTAAGCATTACTTAGCAACAACTATAACACTGGTGTGTTACAGTGCTGTTCTCAGACTAGAGCTGAAACACAGCACTGCACCAGCTACTAGGAAGGAGAAAAATAACTGTTACAGCTGAACCCAGGACATTTTTTCTGCGTTTCCCACCATTGTGGGTCCCTCAGCTCCTGTGCACACCAGCATGAAGCCCATGACTGGAGACCCAGCTGCCCCATGGACATCCTCTCCCAACACTTCCAAATCCCAGGGTGAAGAATCCGTAGGGAAGGCTACCCAGTAGCCAGGACCTTCCAGCCCAGCTTTGCAGTGGGTCCCCCATCAAACGTCACCCACTGAAAGTGAGGCTGGTTAGAAAAGATGCTGCAACATGCAGCAGCATTTCCTGCCTATCCAGGTTTCTCCAGGCTTCTGCTGCTCAAAGATACACAGAAGTAGCTCATGTTGGCACTGGGGAAATCAGTCAGGCCTCTCCTTAGATGACCTCCCTTTCCAGGGAAGCAGGAGGATTGGGCTGCTTTGCACAAACCAGCCTCTTACCCCCAGGGATTCTTCATTAGGGACTGTAGTGACAGGACAAGGGGGAATGGGTTTAAACTTAAACAGGGGAAGTTCAGGTTAGATATAAGGAAGAAGTTCCTTACTGTGAGGGTGATGAGGCACTGGAATGGGTTGCCCAAGGATGTTGTGAATGCTCCATCCCTGCCAGTGTTCAAGGCCAGGTTGGACAGAGTCTTGGGTGACATAGTTTAGTGGGTGGTGTCCCTGCCCATGGCATTGGGATTGGAACTAGATGATCTTAAGGTCCTTTCCAACCCTAACTATTCTATGAATCACCACCGAGTCACCATCCAGGCCCACACTTCAAGCTGGAAAGCCCCATTGCAGCTGATACCATGAGTCTCAGGTAATTGGGAAAGTTCCTACATGATGTGTCCAACCATAGGTGAAGCCTCAGATTTGGCTACGAGATGGTCCTCCATTTATACCCTTGTTATCCATGCCAAGAGCGTTGGCCAGATGCCCCGGTGTGGCCAAGCATGAAGATCATAGAACAGCTACACACCTACATGTTCCTGCCTCATTCTGACAAATAGTCTAGATGAAGATAAACATATATACTCTACCAAATACACTTTGACAAAAAACATACTTTGTTATGTCTCTCAGTCATGAGAGGGAATCAACTCTCAGCTAGGTTCCCATCCATTACACCCGTCTCCACTTGGACATTAAGCCATTGACTCTGTGTGCAGCCATCCAGCCAAAACTTTATCCACAAGGTGGTACATCCATCAAATTGATGTATTTCCAATTTAGAGACAAGGATGTCATGTGGGACAGTGTTGAACACTTTGCAGAAGTCCAGGTAGATGACATCAACTGCTCTACCCCTGTCCATCACTTCCGTAGCCCCATCATAGAAGGCCACCAAATTGGTCAGGCAGGATTTGCCATGTTGGCTGTCACCAACCACTTTGTTGTTTTTCATGTGCCTTAGCATGGTTTCTAGGAGAATCTGCTCCATGATCCTGCCAGACACAGAGGTAAGACTGACTGGTCTGTAGCTTCTTGGGTCTTCCATTTTCCCCTTCTTGAAAAGGGGGGTTATATTACTCTTTTTCCAGTCATTGGGATCTTCATCTGACTGCCATGATTTTTCAAATATGATGGACAGTGCCTTAGCAACTTCATTTGCCAGCTCCTTCAGGACCCGCGGATGGATTTCATCAGGTCCCATGGACTTGTGCACGTTCAGGTTCTTAAGACGGTCTCAAGCCAGATCCTCTCCTACAGTGGGCCTAAGGTCTTCATTCTCACAGTCCCTGCATCTGCCTTCCAAGACTTGGGTGGTGTGGTCAGAGCCTTTGCAGTGAAGACCGAGGCAAAGAAGTCATTAAGAACCTCAGCCTTCTCCAAATCCA